GATTTTTTGATTTATTGTAGAGATGAGGTCTCGCTGCCTAGGCGGGTCTTGAACCTGTGGCCTCAGGCAATCCACTCACCTCAGCCTCCCAAAGGCGCGGGATTACAGGCTGAGCCACCGAGCCCGGCTTCAAGTTCATTTTATCAGCAGACTTTGTAGGTCTTGTGGCTTCTTATAAAAGAACATTCCCCAGTACTAGATATAAGCTCCAAAAAATCATTAAGACAAACCCTGCAATGTTCCTTATAATGAGATCTTAACCTTTGGTCTATTTTTTTCCTGTCTCAAATTCATTTGACAGACATGCCATTCTGTTTCTTTGTGCTGATACCCGTTTATTTTTTGGGGTGTTGTGTAATTGCTGGGGAAGCTGACCGCAAACAATGGAGTTTGGTTCCCCAGCTAAGAAAGAACACCTCTATGCAGGAAGTCAGAAAAATCTCCATAATGCTAGGCTAGAGGCAGGACTTCCAATGTTGGAACTACATAGGGAAGAAACATTGAGGTTCAAAGTTTCTTTACATAGTGATAGCTTATCACTTAAGAGAGGGTAGAGGATTTGGATGACTCTCCTTCCCAATGATAAGAGTGCAGAATTATTATTTTAAAATATAAAATCATAGTTTGATGAAAATGATAATTTACTTTAGTGCCATGAAGAAATGAATTCATAGAGGGATAATTTGCTATTACTGATAAGAGCAAACTCAGAGTAGCCATCAATAAATAATATAGCCTGTAAGATAACAATGAGAGGTTTGACTTAAAACATTTGAAAAGGAAAGTTTAAAGACTGGGATTCCTAAGAAGATGAAGTCTATTGATGATTTCATGTTTCACTGTGAGATCCTGATGAAAATTTTACTAATGAATGTTCTTCAGTTGTGTGACATTTCTTTTCATCTGTTCCAGTGTCTGGGACACATTTATTTCCCACAATCCCAGACTGACTTACACCTTGTCTCCTAGCTCCAGTATAAAGGGCAACACTACAAGGCCACTCCAGTCAGGATGACTCCAGAGATAGAGAGAGTGAGGAGAAACCAGGAGCAGCTGAGTGCGGCAAGTTGTTTGTTTTATTTTATATTTTATCAAACATTACGTGTTTCTGTTTTTAAAAATGCCTTTTGAAAAGTTTTAAACCTTCTCTATATTTGATGCTCCTTTTACACATTCACATGCTGAAGGGCATGAACTATATGTCCAGGAAATATGGGACTGTGTTGCCAGAAATTAGCTGGGTTTGTTTATTCAAGAGACCTCCATTAAGCATACAAATATGCCAGGTATTATGCTGGCCACCAAAACACAAGATGGATAAGGCCCACTTCCTATCCTTATGGACCTCACAGTTCAGTTGATAAATCTCTGAGAATAAATCCAGGTAAGGTCTTGAAGAATAGTGAGTTTGTTGTCAAACTGTGGAGAAAAAAACTATCTATTTGGACCAGGCAAAAGAAGACCCAGCTTGACTGTCATTCTCAGACATAGTGTCAAGGTGAGGAACCTTATCAATAAAGTGGGAAACATTCCTCAGTCGTTCAAGGATCTGTTACTAATAAAGCAATCATCACTAACAGTAGTCATCTCCCTTATGTGCCGGGCCCTGTGCTAATGTTCTATGTGAACCCATGTGGTCGGGACTATTTTTTGGTAGATGTGGGAAACTGAATCTTGGGAGGTCAGAGGACATGCTGGCACCCCTGTCTAGTAAGGGCAGAGGTGGAATTTGAACCTAGATTTCTTAGAATTCGGAAATTTCTTTCAAAATTGTCCTGAAATAGTTATTTTTCCCATTTGGTGATCCTCTTTGTGGAACTTTTACCAGTACAAATAGTGGCATTCTTTTTCCCAAGCAGATAATTTTGAGAGACTTTAGCATTTAAGAACGGGTTCTCCTGGGTGAAGGAGATAATCAGGCTCAACATTGGTGTTAGGAATCAGAGAGCATTAGTTTTTGCTGAAGCCCCAGAAGCTAGAAAGAGAGTAAATGGCCTTCTTAGGCTACCACATCGTCAACTTCACTAGAGTTCTCTTGTAATAATTTTATTCTGGTATTTCTTTTCAGGCGTACTCCCTTATATTTCCATTACTTTTATTCATGGAATTTATAGCTAGTTCTGAGATGGAACAGCAAAGTATTTGTTGAAGAATCATTTTAAAATAGCACAACCAACATTTTGTGCTGGTTAAATCAGAATCTAGGAAGACATACCAGGGGGTGGTTGATGTAGGTCTACTTTGGAAAAATATGCATTAAAAAACTGGGTTAATTTCACACCTCATCCTTCATGGCTTTTAGGTGAAGCCTATTCTGCTAGCTATTAAAATTCTTATTTATCCTCCATAGGTAAAATACAAAGGAGGGATTATGCAGGGAACTGCAATTTCTGATCCACCAGAGCTGAAGAGAGTGAAAGAAAACCAGAAGAACATCAGCAATGTGTGATCATATTAGTAACTTTTTTCTTATAATATCAAATGTATTGGCAACATGTGCATGAAAGAATCTTATTTACAGAGTTTTTGTAACCTTAAGCTGATAGTCTGTTTTCAATAGACTAACAATTTATTTGAAAAGTTTCGGGATCTTAGGTATTGTGGGTACCGTCAAGTATCCCCCAACTCAGAGTTCCCAGTGACACAGCAGGGGGCTTTTTTTCAACAGCCTGTTGTGTGTCCCTCCTATTTTATCTTCATACTGATAGAGGTTGTGGTTCCCAAAGGGAACCTCATAGCTCCTGGCATCTTGTCTCTAAGACAAACTTTTCCACTCTCTTTTATACCTGCATGTGTTCTTGTTCTTGGGCTTCCTCCCAGCCCCATCTTCCGCTGCCAGTGATTATTACTCTATTTCTGGACAATATCTGGGAAGAAATGATCAAGTGCACATGGCTGAATAAGTCACAGGGGACAAGACCATTTTAGGGACACGTGGTAAGGGGCTACCAGTTTTTACTTAGACATCAGATGGTGACCCGCTGTAATTCCCTGTTGTTGATTTAATTCACAGATGTAGTTCTAGACAGAGTTCTTTTTAAAGTTATTAACATATAGATTGTGTTCTTTGGAAGAAGAAATTTGGAAATCTATTATGTAGAAATCTTTTATTCTTCAAACCTTTAAAGTCATTTAGCCAGTTTATAAAGCAATATAGAATTCAGTTACTTGTTAAAGTCCCATGGTGCATGCTGGTGTCTTCTTTGGACACTGTGCTTCCCCTTAGTGAATATCAGGGCTTCAGTTCTGAATTGCATATATACCCTCAGCTCTGCAGTCAGTGTATCCAGGTTATTGTTTGTTACATTTCCTAGCAACCATATTTTAGAGAAGTAGATGCTCACCTTTCCCTAACATAGAGTCACACTTGGCATTGACTCCATTACTCTCAAAAAAGAACCGTGATTACTGAAAAAGAGAAATGGAGCAGCGAGATGCACACTGGCTTTTTATGGATGCCTATGGCCACCTATTTAAATGCATCTTTACAGAAGTCCTCTCTCCATTAATCCCTAAGAAATTATGACAGTGTTGTATCATTCTGTATGGGCAGGAGTACCTTGAAGTAATATCCATGAAGACATTTTTTTTCTCATTTTCTTTTGTGATTAAATACTTACTACAGCTTTATGGATGGTATGCCTATATATTTGAGTATAATCACAGTGATTCAGACACACATGCGTTCTTACAGGATGGAATGAAATGGATAGATTTTAAGATACCTGCATTCTAAGTATGACTAGATTTCTGATAATACCCTCTCTCTTTTTAAAAAATAACTTTCTTTCTTTGGCTATAACTCATTAAAATAAATACCACGAGACTCTTAATTAGTTGAATTGATTCACACTTCTTTATTTTTTGTTCTCTGAAATGATAGGTGTTTTATAAAGCTCAGCTGGGAAGAGCTACCGCTTTAAGTGTAACTCCTGAAATGGAAAGAGTAAAGAAGAATCAAGAACATATTAGCTCGGCAAGTGGTTTTGTTCATTTCAAACTATCAGAAGGGATGTGTCCTTTACTGTCTTGCTTTTCTTGTGAAAATGAAATTTATTTTCAAGAAACATTTGTGATACTGCCAATAAGAACATGTGTTATTTCAGATGACTTCCAATGCTGCCACTGTATATATTTGCATTATCCTGTGACCCTTCAATGGTATTTCCATATGTGACCTACAGTTATATGCAAAGCTTAGTTTTAAATTATATTACATTTATTTAAACAATGATTTTTGCTGTTTTTGCCAGTGTCTTTGAAAATGATGAAGCCTTTGCTGCGTAAGTTAAATAATTGTCATTTTATCTATGTATTTCATTGAACATGGATTGTTAAATACTCACTGCAAAACAAAGTAGGAAATGATTCATGACTCCCAAGTGAGGACTTAGAGCAAGAAAAAAAAAATCTTTGCATACGTTTAATATAGAATTCAGTTACTTGTTAATGTCCCGTGGTGCATGCTGGTATCTTCTTTGGATACTGTGCTTCCTCTTAGTGAATATCAGGGCTTCAGTTCTGAATTGCACATATGCCCTCAGGTCTGCAGTCAGTGTATCCAACACTTACACATAATCGGCTTCACAAAAGGCAGTGTTCTGATGGGCAGCTGCCAGGAATACCTGCCTTGTTCCTGGCACACCTTGAAGAACTCAGTTCCTGAGGATCAACATTTAGGCTTCATAATTTATAGCTGTCTAGTGACATTTCTGTCCATAGTTACTGAGTATATTTAACATAAATTACCTTCAGGCTGTGGCTGCTTAGAAGAAAAACTAGATTTGTTCCTCATTATTTCTTATTCTCTAAGGAGAGAAGAAAGAAATAGAGGGTAGTCTGGTATGCATTTCTCAACACTATTATGGCAGAAAAATGGGGAAATTTAGAAAATAAATTTGAGTTCTATTTAGTTTTGGGTTTTCCCTGTTTAGCTTAAATATGATAACCAGTTTTACTGACTAGATCATTAGAGACTATTGGGCACTCACACATTTGCAGTTGATAGGTTTAGATCTTTTTGCTGTAGCCCTTACAGGGTAGCTTTGAGAGTAAAATTTTAGGTTGCTATTCTGGAACAAATATAATTCACTGAAAAAGTTACCTGAGAAATAACGTCAAGAATGTTGCCTATGTTTCACTTAGCTTTAAAAAGTTATATAATAATTTTTTATTATAGTTGTCTTATTATAAGTATGTCTATTATTTACTTTGCAGGTAAAATATACCCACGACCACAAACAGATGAAAGGTAGACCAAGTCTGATTTTAGATACACCTGCTCTGAGACATGTTAAGGAAGTCCAAAATCATATTTCAATGGTAGGGTACAACCAGATCATCCTTCTCATGACTAAAACATACTAAGGAACGGCAGAACCCAGTGAACCGATGGCATTAGTTCACTATTAATCTGGATAACTAACAAAGCATGGAAACATGATTGGTCCATCCTTTTTTTGGGGGGGGGGGACTTTCTAATAACACTGAAATGTAATGGAAATATTTAGTCTAATAAAATAATTTTTTCTCAGTGGTTTCTTTTGGTGTGTTTTTATTTCTAACGTGACTACTATAAATGCACTGTGTGAAAGGCATTTGTCTAAGGTTCTTTCCAATTAATTTTTAAGATGGATTTTGGTGTGTTTGCATGTTATAAAGAATATGAAAAAATGTATGTTTTTAAAGCAATTTCATGAGCTATAATTTACCTACCATAAAGTTTACCCATTTTAAGTGATCAACTCAATGATTTCTGGTATAATTTACAGGGTTGTAAAACTATTACCCTGACCCAATTTCAGAACATGAAAAAAATGTATGTCTGGAAGTATATATATAAGTTTTTGTAATTATGTACAAAAATTATATATATCATTATGACTCTTTTAATCTAACTTTAAATAATATAATTTAAAAAATGATTATTGTAGAATTAGATATTACTTTATTGCATACTTAAAGTTAGGGTAGCGAATTTAATTAATAGTTAAATTAGTATATTTCAGGAAGTAACCAATATTTAAAAGTATTTATTTTTTAGAACTTCTTACTGATATACAGGCTTATAAATAATTTAATGACTGGGTGCAGTGGCTCACACCTGTAATCGTAGCATATTGGTAGGCAAAGGTGGGAGCATTGCTTGAGCCGAGGAGTTTGAGACCAGCTTAGGCAACATAGCGAGACCTGTCTCTACAAAAAACAGAAAAATTAGCTGGGCAGGGTAGTGCACTCCTGTAGTCCCAGCTACCTGGGAGGCTGAACCAAAAGGATCCTTGTGCCCAGGAGTTTGAGGCTGTGCTGAGCTGTGATTATGCCACTGAACTCCAGCCTGGATGACAGAGTGAGATCCTGACTCAAAACAACAGCAACAACAATAATAATAATACTGATAATTTAAAAGAGATACTAACCATAATGATTATAAACTTTGTAAAAATAGCACTTGATTTCTGATGCTAAGGAGCTTAAGTTTCAGACATTGTTTTTGGGATAATTAGAAACATATATGTAGAAAATAGCCTAGATGCAGCCAGTGCAGCGACACCTGTGATTTTATCAAAATATTGTACTATATTAAACTATCAAGAAAATTTCAGTTTGAGTTAACCTTGTTTTTCCTTTTTCAGGTAAAATACCACGAAGATTTTGAAAAGACGAAGGGGAGGGGCTTCACGCCTGTTGTGGATGACCCTGTGACAGAGCGAGTGAGGAAGAATACCCAGGTGGTCAGCGATGCTGCCTATAAGGGTGTCCATCCTCACATCGTGGAGATGGACAGGAGACCCGGAATCATTGTTGGTAAGCTGGCTGTCTTTTTTGGCAGGTGTGCACAGTCAAAGCAATTGTGTCTGAGAATTATCCTTCTCATTCATCTGATTCCTTATCACAGGTTTTCTTATCAAAGGTTTCATAAGATTCCTTATGCATAGTTTAAAACAGACCGCAGATATGGTGTTATTTTTGTACCATACTGAATAAGATTCATGGCATTCACCAGATATCATCTCAAATCTTCTCTGTCATTGGAAGTTCTCGACCTTTAATAGCTGTCTGGTCTTAAGAATGTTCCTACTTGTTAAACAAAAAAGCAGCCCAGACATGGATGATAACAAGAGTTGAACAAGTATTTCATTTTCTTTTAGCTTGTGTACTTGATCAATGTGTTGTTCTATAGACACCATGTGCATGGGTGACAAAAATAGCCATATCACATTATGTCCATTTACCACAAGTAGACATGCCAGGGAGAGTCTGATGGCATTACATAATATTAATAGCTCATATTTTTGAACATTGTTTCTGATAAATTTTTTAATTTAAGCTTTATTTGTATTATTTTTTAAATTTGTATAAATGTGTGGGGCACAAGTGCAGTTTTGTTACATGCATAGATTGTGTAATGATCAATCCAGGATTTGTAGGGTATCCATCATCCAAAGAGTGTACCTTGTACCCAAAAGTACTTTATTTCTGAACTGGGGGAATTGAGAGCTGCCTGAAAGTCCCATGATTAAGAGAGCAGTCTTTTTTCCTGCTATCTGTTCCTTGTAGTCAGTTTTGGAAAATCCTAGGAGGATATTTGTTGAATGGTGGCCAAGATATCAGCAACGATCATACAGACATATATGGCAGGGCTAGGGAGGAAAATTATTGATTTTTCAGTATATATCAAAAACTCAAGACTGTGGTCTCCTTCAGAGTGGTTAGCCTCTGAATTATGTAGTACAGTTTTGTAGCTCTAAGAATATCTTTGGTAACGATGGTATATGCCTCTCAGTAATCTCAGTGCTAGGTTTTCTTCCCTTCATCTTTAAAAGTAAGAGCTTATTTTTAGTACCAGTGAAAGACCATTTAGAATTAGGTGGGTAAAATATGTATTTGACAGGGTAATATCTTAGTTTAGAACAAGAGTGCTAAAGTCAGGGCACTAAATGACTTGGATGGTTATAAAGTGGCTCTGAAAGTGTTTTCAAAGAAGGATTCCAAACATATTTGTAGGCAATTGATAGCTTTGCTGATCTACCCAAGCTGATTACTTAAGAAAATCAGATTAAGTTGGATGGATGAGCTGTGATGTTTTCATTAAGTGTGACACAGAACTAGAGAGTGTTGTGTTACTCTGTATTAAAACCTCATAAAGGGTAGTGCCGGGTTCTGATTAGCCTCACTTAGACTGCTACGGTCTGTGTCACTTACTCCTGAGTTCTACATAGATCAGGGGCCAGAAATGATGGTGAGGTCATTGCCAAAAACCGTGGAACTGTCTAGACCCTGGTCTCTCAGGATTCAAAACCTTATTGTTTTTGAAAATGTTTTTGTTTTTGAAAATGTAAGATGCATAACTCTGAATTGTTTACTTACTGGGAAATCCAGAAGTCAAGTTATTTTATTTATCGGGAGATGCTGTTTTTCATTAAGGACTTGCCTATGAAAACACAAAATGAAGTGTGTTTAACAAACATTATACTTTCCAATGAGCCAGCTTCTGTAATAGGCTTGGAAATACGAATTTAGAGATGTTCCTGAGTAATTCAAATTAAGCCAATTTGTGCTGCTTCTGTTTTCATTGGAGGCTCTGCTACTTACTAGTTGTGTAACCTTAGCTAAACAACTAAATCTCTCTATGCCTCGGTTTCCTCATCTTGGGGATGATCACAATAGTACTGACTTTAATATGTATGAAACTTAAGTGACTTAGGTTATAAATGAGACTAGTGCAGGCATATGGTAAGCACTACATAATATTAATTATAACCACACAAACAAATCTCCAGTTCCAGTTTACAGATTCATTGTTTTTATTCCATCTCCATTTCTGACACCTGTCCATACCTAGGTTCTTATTTTCCAGCTGTTGGTACCGCACTATACAGCTCACTTTAGGACCTGATGCCCTTTAGTTGGAAAGATTGGTGAATTCAGAAGTTATTAGATTTATATGTTACCTCCAACTAAGCTAAGAGGAGGATACATTGGCTTGCACAATCTGATGACTGATCATAGCAGGGGTCCTTGGAGAACAGGAAGCTGTTCTTACCCTCTTTCAACCCTCATCATTCCTTGCTTTTTGCAGTGCTTATAGTGTTTTTCTAATAAGTATGTTTTATCAGATGCACTTAGCTTGTACTTACAGACTCAGAATGAAAACTGGGCTTGCCACTTCTCTATGTTTCAAATATTCCTTTCTGTTATAGGAAGAGAAGTTTTTTGTTTTGTAGAAACAAAATCTCTCAACCGTGTCCTGTGAATTACTCACATGTCCTTAATCAGGGACTTTAACTAAACATTTTGCTGGTTTCAGGAGAGGGGAGATCTCCTCTGTGGAGAGCAAGAGTGATTGGGGTGCCATGGGGGCCGCATAGAGTTACCTCGCGCGCGTGTGGGTTGTGTGATGGGTCACAGGTACTTCAGCAAGCCTGGGGAAAGCAGCACAATGAGTAGACCCGACAACTTCAATTTGATCACTAAGTTTTCTTAACAGATAGTCATGAAAGGGACTTTCCTCTGAAGTCTGCAGCATAGAGGGTTTTCTTGTTATATGTTTGGTTTTTTGTATATATACCTTTCCAGACTTTTGCTTGACTCTTTTGGGTGCTGGTTTTTTTTTTTTTTTTTTTTCCCCCTCTTCATTCCTTCTTGATAAATGTTGATTTCTTCTTTTGGTAAAAGACCTCAAAGTTTGGCGCACAGATCCTGGCTCCATCTTCGACATCGATCCCCTGGAAGACAATATTCAGTCTAGAAGCCTACATATGCTCTCCGGTATTGCTTTTGATTTGAGTTCCTCCCATTTGTGTGGGTTTTGTCCTGAAAGTGAAACAACTAGAAACTGTAGAGGTTCATCGTGCCAGCTGTGTATTGTACATTTTAAAGTTGAGAATTTGAGAAACCAAAAAAGTGCTATCTATGCTACTTTAAGATACCATTAATCATTTATGAAAATAAAGCTTGCAAAAGGACTTTTTAATATTTCCTAGATTAGTCTGTCCTAGATGCATTTAAACAAGCTTTTTATGCGTGAGTATGATTTTATAGGCTTTCTGGGTTTATAAATGCGGTTTTGGGTTGCACTAAACTGCTGAGACAAAAAGGAGATTTGTTTCATGAAATGTACTGTTAGAATATTTTAAAAGTAGATGTAAAGAATTATACATAGAATAGTGGGAGGGGTTTCCATAGAGCATTATAAATGTCTTAAAGTAAACTTTCAAATATCTCTAAAGTATATCTCTGAGTTTTTATATATTATAAAATGAATAGTTTCGGAAGCTGATTTGACTTTTAACTTAGACTGCATGTTTATAATTAAAGGCAAAAAATGAATAGTTGGGATATAGCGATAGCTTAATGTGACATTTCAGACTTTTATTTTGTCGACAGTTATATAGTTATTTTAAACATTATAACTAGATATATCCTTTAGGTCTTGCTCTGCTACTTTATATTTATTTGCTGCCATCAATAAAATTGAATACCCGAGGCAAAGTATACTTTTATAGTCAATTTGACCCATATAGTTAGCCAAACTGTGTCATTTAACTTTTTAAAAATAAAGGAAAGGCAACAAATACTGTATACCTGGTGATACTTGAAAGGAATCATTTATAACCAGGTATGTGTTTAACCGAGATGTATTAGTTTAGTTTGCTAGTGTTTTCTTAGTTCTTGTCAATTTCCCATCCCTTATCTTTCCTTTAAAATTTAGTCTTAAAATGAATGCAAACACCCTTTAAGTCACTTATGTAGTTGATGCAATGCGTGCTTAAGTTTGGAAATAGTGGAGTAGAGCTGAGATTTGGGGTTATTGTTTATTTACTAAGCCATTGTTTTTCTTCCTTATTAAGCTTTTAAGTAATTTTTGTTTCTTTTGTTTTTTCAAGTCTCCTAATCACAAGTATGAATATTTTCCCTCCAATGTAGAAAAGGCAAGTCACTATAGGCAACACCGGTCCCGATCTCATTCCAGCAGTACTTTTGGTACAGGTCTGGGAGATGACAAGTCAGAAATCTCAGAGATGTACCCTAGCTTTTCATGCTGCAGTGAGGTAACAAGACCATCTGATGAAGAAGGTATCAAGCATTAACCACTTACAAAGAAAATGGATTCATTTTTTAAAAAAATGTGTCACAAGAGTGTCTAACATTGTCTTCACCTTTGTACAAACATGTGGTCTGGGTGTATTTGAGAATTTGGAATTAAGTTTAGAAAGTTAATAGTCCTTTTTGCTTTAAACTACTAATTTGCTTTTTGCATGTTATTTTTTTCCTTGTCTTACTGCACGATTATTACTGCAAATGGATCTGTAATGACGAAAGGGTCTCGGGATTTGCTACCTGAGTCTGTTTCACAGGTGTTATATATGATGGATATACACAGTCTTAGTGGAACTTGAATTCTCCATAGTTTGTATCTGATTTCCATTAAGAAAAAAATCAATCTTACAGTAATATTAAGGTGGCTGAGAGGTTGCTATGAATTTGTGTGTGTTTAAATATTGATATATATTTGCAGACACAGTTAGATCTTGCCAGAAAGAAGTTAGGCATACTATTTGAGATATGAGTTTTTTAAAATGACAAATGTTGATTGTTAATAATCTTCCCTATTTTGTATACCCACCCTTTTTCTGTACCTTCTCCTGTTTTCTGCATTTAGGCTGATGGATGAAATCTAGAACTTTTAGTGAACTTCTTTATGATGTTAAACTAATCCTGCTTATGAAGCTGTTACTAAAGGTTAAGACTAAAGTGCTGTCTCTGCCCATTGTGGTTACATTTTAGTGCAATGAGGACCAGAGAGGACAGATGGATGCATAGGAGAACAAAAGGAATACTGTGTTTCCCCTTCAATTGAGAGGGCCATGTTGCTGATATCCCAAAGGCAGGAAATTTTGAGGTTGAGCAACTGAACACCTTTGGTGACAAAAAAGCAAAGTGACTGAGGGAAATGATGAGACTATAAAAGCTTTTGTAATTGTGTAATTGCCTTTTGCATTTATTACAATAGAATCCTAATGAGAATAAAATCAATTATATTCTATCTTGAACGCTATATTTGGACTGGCCTTAGGTTGGCAGAAAGTTTTTAAGGGTCTCTTTCCTCTATAATTCTAAGGAAACAATTACAAATGAATTTTATTTTATAGTAGATAAAGCACATATGAGGAGATCTCCTCTTTTTTGTGTCTGGTTTGCTAACAAAGGGTTCAGTAACTTTCTGATTTTTTTTTTTTTTTTGACTTGAGATTACTGATTTCTCCCTTCAGTATTCTTCATGTTCTGGAGGTACAGAATAATGTTGATGCTTGATGGAATAAATATAACTCAAAGAAAACACAAGAACTAATTTTGATCATCCTTATTTAATGTTACTTAGCTCAGAGCATTGGAGTTGATATCTGTCCCAAATGCAATGTACCATAGAGTCTTTGCCTCATGAATGATCCTTTACTTCATATGTGTACACGCCAACACATCACTCATTAATTTATTCACCAAATGCTTATTGAGTGCTCTTTGTGCACCAGCCAAGAGCTTGAATCCGGCAACACACACAGCAGCGAACAAAAAGACATACATATGCTGTAAGGGGCTCAGAGTCTGGTGGAGGACCTTGACATTTAGCAGATACTTACACAAGTAATATATAATTATGAATAGAGTTAGTGCTATGAGGGGACGGAATCAGGGCTATGATAACAGGTCTGTTCCATCTGTCCTGGATATCAGGAAAGCTTTCCTTAGGAAAGGAATGTTAGAGTTGAGATGTGAATGCTGATGGAAGTTAACTAGGCCAAGGAGTTTTGTAAGAAAAATGTGTCTAACAGGATACAGCATGCAATGGTGTGTCATTGAGACATTCAGACTGAGGTGTCAAGTAGGTAATTAGCATTCAGAAGAGCAGGCAGACTGTAGGTCAATTTGGATATCATCATCCGAGTCTAAGTTAGTTCTTGGGTGAATCTGTGTGGAGACAGAGAATTCAGACATCCATGCCCCAACCACCCTGGTTCCCTTGGCACCAGCAGACCACACCCAGGTCTACTGTCTCATTGCATTCTCTTCTCCAAGGCTATAATAACCTGCTATTGTTAGTTTATTACCTCTTTGTCTTCTCCAGCTTATGTGCCTTCTTTTTTCTAATTATTTCTAGCAAAAGGACCCTATATAAGCCAAACTGAATGAAAAAATGTCTCCATTGGAAAAAGGCATATATGAATATTCTTGCAGTTATACTAGAATTTGAGTAAGAGTAACACATGGTTAAGGGGGAATAGTTACGTTGTGTAAATGGGAGAACATTAGACTCTGGGAAAAAATGTTCGGCAGGCAGGGATGGCTCATTGACTCAAATAATGCCTTTTAAGAAAAAATTTACTCTGTAGAGTCATTGATAAACTTCTGTCATTCTCAGTTGTCTGTTATGTGGCCAAGATGCTCTGTCCTTAGGGACATTTCCTATTTTAGAAAATAGACACTGATAGATGAAGCAAAGGTCAAGAGGTACCAATAAGTTTTATAACAAAAATGCAAGTGGTGGTATACCCACACATTATCGGTGTTATTTGAGAAGATTTTAGGTTACATAGGAATATGCTAATTTAATTTATTTTAAGTGAAGCAAAGCACATTCTATCAATTGGCACCATATGTCTGTATTCAAATGATTAGAGACATATTAAACCACCTCCTCACTACCCTCTTCCCTCCAGAAGTCTGCTACTTTCCCAGGCTTCCCCGTTTGCTAAGTAGCAACTGCAGCTTTCCAGACACTGAAGTCAAATCCTTTGGAGTTATCCTTGACTCTGTTCTTTTACTCACATCCCACCTCCAATCCATTGGCAAATCTTCTCAGCCCCACCATGATGAAAATATCCAGAATCTGACTGCTTGTCCTCACCTTTGCTGTCGCTACCCTTGTATCAGCTACTGCCACCTCTCACTTGGATGATCACTGTCACCTCCTGGCCAGTTTCCCTGCTTTTGCCCTGCTTACTCCATGCCCTGCCCACCCTCTGCCCTGGTCTGTTCTCTACCAGGCATCTGGAATGATCTTCTTGAACCCTGAGTTAGATAATGTCAGTCTTCTACCATTTCATTCTGAATATAATCCCAACCTCACCATTGTATATAAGTCCCAAGTCGAATCTTGACCACTGGCTACTGCTCTGAACTCATTTCCTACCATTCCCAGTACATCCATCTACTCCTGCCATTCTGGTCTACTTACTGTACACAAACTTTCCAGGAAATCTCTTCCAAGAGCCCTTTACACTTCCTCTTCCCCTACCTGGACCATTCCCTTCACCCCAGATATGTGCTCGCCTGGTGCCATTTTTCTGTATGTTTTATCTTTATCAGAGACCCTCTCTAACTACTAGAGAGAAAATAGCAACCCTTCTCTCACTGTCTGTCCCTTTATTCTGCTTTTTTATTTTTATTTTTTGCCTTTATAGAACTTGGTACCACCTGAGATATTATATATATTGATTTGTTTGCTTGTTTGTTTATCTCGGCCTCTCTAGACTCTAAGCCCTATGAGAGCAGGGATATTGACTCTTTTGTTGACTATTCTACTTCCAGCTCTTAGAATCAGCATTCAGCAAATAGTTGGTGAGATGGCCAAATCAATAATTTAAAAAGTAGGACTGCATACATTAATATATGTAACCATACTTATTTTTGTAAAATAAAATTCTCTTGTGGAAGGCTTTCACAAAAATTCTTACATTTTTGATGATGTTTTGATATGTTTCAATGACATTAAAGTATAGATGAAAAACAACCTAAAGTGGAAACATTCCCAGTGTTTGTTTTGTTTTGTTTTGTTTTTTTATTCTGGAGGAGAAGGAAAGAAGTATCTATGACTTCTCGGTGGCTTTGAAATTTAGGGTACCCTTTGAAATGTGTGCTCTGCTGGGCTCTGGTAAGAGGGTGCTGATTGACTGTGTAGAAGGAGACTTTTATGGTGATGACAACTGTTTGATGAAAATTTTTAGTGTCTTTAGCAGTAACCATCAATCATATGCATTTGTTTAAATTCTGCCCTAAAAATTGAAAAGAATTTTATAACAATACTTGTTAGGGGTAGGATGGAAAAAACAAATGTTCTTAAGTATTTAGCAGTGGCATTTTTCTTCCAGATTTTGTTGATTTCTTTACATTTTATTATTTATTTATTAATTTTTAAAGTAATTATTTTTTTTGGTTCATAATCATCATCCCTGATGATGATGCACCCCTGATAGTAGCACTGCTATCATGGATTAATTCAAGGATTGATTTATTTTTCTTTTTTAATTTTTTCAACTGATAAATAATAATTGTATGTATTCATGGGGGGTACAAAGTGATGTTTCAATACATATAATATATAAGTGATCAGGTCAGGGTAATTAACATATCCATCATCTCAAACATTTATCATATTTTTTTGTTGGACACATTCAATATCTTCCTTCTAGCTATTGCTAGTAATTGTGAATAATATTGTTAGTGATATTGTTAACTATAGTCATTCTATAGTGCTATAGGACATTAGAACTTATTCTTCCTATCTTGCTGTATATGATAAAATGTGTTCTGTCCCCCAAAGATGTCCTTTTAATATTCAGTTGACTTAAGTCTCAACACTCATGCTACTCAGTCTGGGCCCTCAGGGAGGTCATTTAGCCTTATTAGACTCAGATTTTCATCCACAACAAGAAAGACATAAAAGAAGCTTCTTACGATATTTTATACTTCCCAAGCTAAGTGCCATAAACTTACATAGACTCTTTATTTTTTCTTTGTCTTTCTTCTGTGTATGAGAATGTGTTTATGTCCTGAAAATGGTCTGTTTTATTTTATGAATTAAGAGGCTGGGCAGTTATGAGAGTCACAGTTTTAGGTCCTTCTTATGACTTAGAGGAAATTCTGATTGTTAGGACAAAGGGTTAAACAATCAGCTCGCTTCCTTGAGGCAAAAATACAATGTTTTCATCATTCACATTTGGTTTTCATGAGCGTTAGCATATAAGCCTTCTCCTTTAAGTTTTTATCATTGTTTTAGTTATGCGTTTCTCATGATA